AAACGTTTTTACATGATCATTGTACCCTAGTTTAGTGAGAGGACGACAGAGTGAAGGCATGAGCTAGAAATATCGAAAGAGTGTTCGAGGTTAGATCATTCAGCTAGAGGCAGCGATTGGGAACTCGAATTTATGCGATATGTGTTTAAAACTACTATTAGAAAATCTGTTCAAAATGGAATAGTACTGCTTTGCATTTCACGTCGTTAAATGCTGCAGGATCCCGGTGATCAAAACTGGCTCTTCACGGTTTCATGGAAAGCTATAATGTGTTGAGCGCGGTGGACTAAACAGTGTTTGTAGCAGTTCCATTTCCTTATTTTTATATCCTATTATCGTTGTGTTTTCTCTCTGCCTCTGCTGTACTTTTTTTTTTATTATACAACAATTCGTCATATTATGTAAAATGTGTGCAACACGTTAAAATTTAAGAAAGAAATACTGACTTTTGCGAATGTAAAATGTTAATGGTTTTCAAGATAGGACGTGCACGGAAGAACACTGTGTTCAAGTGTCATGACTGAAAAAGACTTTGTTTATGATAGATGCGCAATATATGGACGGACTATTGAACACATGATAAGAGTAATTCTGAACCATGGACAATCTCATAAACAGAATCCTGGTAGGTATAAGTTTCTTTGTTGTGGGAATGCATGCATTACAACAGTACTCGTTCTATAAACACACCTCGTCAGGTATAATCGTCCTTCCGGTTGAAAATGGCCCCTATAGTAACCTTTCTCTGATTCACTGTGCAGGTCTCTGTACCTCGCGCCACTCAAGCATGTACTTCCTCTACGATTCACATATTCACTCCTGCACTTGCGCATTAACGTTATTCTACAACCTGCAGCAAATTCCGAGTCAAAATCAAAGCCTCTACGCCCACACGAAGACAAAAACATGTCCTTTGGACTCTGGATATGTCCTTGAGGCTTATGGTGACACTGTGGTCTGTCTAAAAGCAATGCCCTTTGACCTCATACCGCAACCTGCCGCAATCGCCGTCTGCTCTTTTTTCGATTCCGGCCGCCTGTTTCTCACGGACACGACGGATAAACTGCACATCTACACACGATTAGCTACTGCCTATGGCATCGAAAGTATGTGGGGAGCTGCTTCTGACAAGCTCAATGAGGGCTCGTACTATTGGTCCGACGGAAGATTGATGTCTGCAGAGGAAAGAGCTATTGTCTTCATAAATGGACAGCCCGATGATAATCAGAATGAAGATTGCACTGAGCTGGTAACAGAGACCGGCAGATTCAATGACCTTAATTGTTATTTGCTTCGTTCATTCGCTTGTGAGAAGGAATTTCCTAGTAGTAAATAATACTCCAAATCGTAGAAAATTCCACTTTGCTTGAACAGGTTCGGTGCAATCATTGTTGCCTCTTGTTCCTGAATCATTAAAATGTGTTTTCTTTATCCGTCAGTTTGCTTCAATTTATAGATCTTGATTTTCTCACTTTGGGGTTCGGTTCGCATCTATCTACCACCATTATCATTACCACCTCTTCTTACAGGACAGAAAATAAAAAACCCTCCGTTCCCCATACGAATCTGGTACTACCTCTCTCTAACGATTGTTACCCATCCCTCCTTCTATCTCTCTTTCTGTCTGTCTGTCTCTCCTCTCTCTCTCTCTCTCTCTCTCTCTCTCTCTCTCTCTCTCTCTCTCTCTCTCTCTCTCAATGTCCCCGGGTCTTCATTATACGAGAATAATTAAAATCTCAGTTCAACATTTTACTTACAAAGGCATAAATCGAAATTGTGTCTATTGGTTGTAAATCATTGCAAATGGTTTAAGCACTTACTTGACAACATTTGTATGACTTAGTTTAGGGACTGCTTCAGCGCTGCTGTTAGAGTCAATATGGACAGAACGGAATACAGCATTGCAACAAACATGTGGGGATTCTCCATAAAACAGCTTCCCACCGCAGGAATGGATCTCCTACCATTCGTGTGCGAATAGCCTAACCATTACTCCACAGACACCAGTAAAGAAAATATATTCAGTACCAAATATACATTCGTTTCGAACAAAACTTTTGTTATCGCTTTTGATTTGCTTCTGGTATTGAACTAAAATCTAGCAAATCATCTACTTTCCTGTTATCACTTTCATGCTATGTCGTGGAGGTTAAAAAATACCAAGAAGGTACATACTCTCAATGGATTACGCTTCAAAATCCAAGGGCCGTTTTCTTTCTTCAACAGTTATGAAAGTCTTTTCTAACGGACAATACTCAAAGAATTATTTTTGTCTGTGATTATTTCAGTCCGAATTTCACGGCACTTGCAACACAAGTAGGTTATATAATAGCTGTTTGTTGCTTTTGTTGTTGTTTCTTTTGTTTTTTGTTCGTTTGTCTTTCCATTATTAGTTTGCTAGTCGATCAGAGATAAAAATGTTTCCTTGCACTTCTCCTTGTTCTCTGGTTTCAAACACACAAATGCTGTTGGACATAAAAAAGGTGGTTTTCATGTTTTG